CCTTATGGGGAAATTTGATTCGGGACGTGACCAAAATCGGGTCGCGACCAAATTCAGAGGGCTCAGAACGGATTAACCCTATTTACATTGAACCTTATGGGAAAATTTGGTTCGGGTCGCGACCAGAGTCGCGGAACAAATTAAGTTCATGAACCGAGGTACCACTGTATTACTACATTATAAATAATCATCTGCTAATATATTGTTTATTGTATATAACGTTATATATAATTTACTTTATTGTACAATAACTGAATGTGTTAAGTTTTATTATAGCTCGTGTTACCATTGCTATTGTGCATATTCAGATTATTATTTTACTATTTATTTCTTGCTATTAAAGCAATAACTCAGAGAATGCCAACAGCGTGGGTTTACCTAGGTGGAAGTTTAGTTTAAAATGTTAGGTTTCAAAACCTGTACTTGTGTCAGGGCCTTTGCCAGCTGTCTGAAACTGACAGTGATTTTTTTCTGAGGACATTTCTGACAGAGTTGTCTTCAACAAGATTTATTGTCTTGAAAGGGGCAGAGTTACAAGAATGCCAGCAACTGAATTCGTTTCCAATTTAGAGCTACAGTCAATTTTCATTATTCACGGTAGTTATGTTATAAAATTGCCACAAATACTGAACCACTGCTTCTAGGGGAATACAGCATTCCTGTGAGTCTCTGGTCACAACATTTTCATCAACCGATAAATACATAACTTTGTTTTATGTGTGTTTCTGTTTAAACACGCCTTATTTAATGTGTATATATTCCTTACAAATAAAGTAAGTCCTGGAAAAAAATAACAAAGATTAAGCATTTAAAGTTTTATTTAAAAAGCTAACTTTTGATGGCCGTTTTAACCAGCAAGATCACTGAGAGAAGACAGACATGCACAGAGTGGCAACAAAATTTTTGCCGCTCTGCACGTGTCTACGAATAACTGCAAAAGCATTGTATTGATTTGGGGGTTACAGATCCATCTTAACGAGTAGGCAAATTCGCAAATACAGAACCCGGGAATAATGAGGATTGCCCGTAATATATTCTTGTGTGTGTTGGGGCAGAGACTTTCTGATTTTCTTTCTAATAGCCTTCTGATGATCCAGTGAGAATGCAGATCTGTTCACCAAAAATGGGGAAGGTTATGGTGGATTGTTCATAATAGTCTCTAAATTTAATAGTCTGCGGGAATGACCTTGGGAGACAGGAGGAAGAGCCGCAGACAGGACAACCAAGCATAGAAAAGGTGTCTCAGCCCACAGAAGGAAAAGGGGCATGGGAAGCATCTCAGAAGAGACCCTACCTAGTTTTCCGGAGAGGAGGGGAGAAACGCTTTCAATCTTGCAAGATTCTGTTAATGTAGCCTTACAATAAAGATAGAGCTAGTATTCATTGTTTCATTGACTATGCAAAAGCCTTTGATTGTGTGGATCACAACAAACTGTGGCAAATTCTTAAAGAGATGGGAG